TCTGCTTGGCCTGGGAGGGGGGGTCCAGTCAGGGCGACGGTAACATTTGGGAGACGTCATTTGAGTACTGTGTATGAGGTGCAAGCCCTCTACTGCTGCGGCTGTGGCTGCTGCTGCTGCTGCTGCTGCTACTGATGCATGCTGCATGTTTCTTGTTTCTTTTCCCCCCTTTCCCGTCTCTTGTCTCGCGCGTGTCTTCCGAGGGGGGAAAGATGAAAGTTCGCTCTCGATCTCGATGCTGGCTTTCCACTTTCGCCATCTCGGACTTGTTCTGCATGACCTGAGAGAGGCCCGGCGGGGGAGGGGGGGCAGGTTCCGGCCGGTGTGGCTCACGCCTCGGGCACCATCGTGGCCGATGCATGTTGGTATTGGGCAGACGGCTACGGGTGAGACAGGCATGGCGGAACAGAAGTGGGAAGCGGAACGCGGCTTGAGACTTAGTGGCCGACAAATCAAATATTCGGCCGTGTCTTGGGGCTCTTGTTGGTGGTCACGCGGTTGGGGGGGCGCAGGATCACGACCACGAGGCGGGAAGAAGCAAAGAAAGGAGCATGGGAGAAGAAGAAGAAGAAAAAGAAGGAAAATTCGCTAGTTTTCTTGATGCCTCACCGAAGGCGGGATGCAGCAAGGAGCAGGGAGCGAGACACCAGGAGGAAATGATGAAGTTGTTTGAAGTAAGGTAGGTAGGTAGGTACCTAGAGGAGGCAAGGAGGGAGGAAAGAGAAGAAGCGTCACGGCTCCGACCAAGTGAGCAAGGGGTCTGCCTGTCTGCCTGCTGCAGCTGGGATCAGGTGCTCGGCACTGAAGGTGCCACGTGCTGCTTGGTCATGTGACTGGCATTCTGACCAGGTTGCTGACTCAGCGAGGCTCACCTCAACGTCCAACATCGTGACTTCCTCGAGAGCCTCTTGATGACGAAAGGCAGCGTCAGAAGGATGGCATCAGAGCATCGGGGATAGTCTGCGCTGGTCCTGTTCCTCTTCTGTTCCTCTGTCCTACTGTTCTGGTTTCCTGATGTTTGTGTTCGGAGGGTCCCTTTCTTGATTCATCATCAAATACTGGTACCAAGACCGCCATGCGCTGCTCACCAAACCCGCTTCTGCTGCGTCAAGCCATACGGCAACGGCAGAAAACATTCCCCTCGTTCATCTCTCGTGGCTTGAGCGCAGAAGCACACTGCCGCCTGGAAATCGAGTTGACTGCACCAAATGGTGTCTCGTGGAAGCAACCACAGGGCCTCTTTATCAACAATGAGTTCGTCAAGAGCAGCAACGGCCAGCAGATCACGACGGTCAACCCCTTGTGAGGCCCATTCCTGTCAGAGAGGACTTTCAGCACATGTCTGACAGTGACAGCACCGAACAACCCATCTGCTCCGTCCATGCAGCCACAGAATCCGACGTCGACTCGGCCGTCGCCGCCGCCCGTGCTGCCTTCAAGCACCCGTCCTGGCGTGACCTGTCGTCCTCGGCACGGGGCCAGCTCCTCCACAAGCTCGCCGACCTCGTCGAGGCCAACGCCCTGACGCTGGCCACCATTGAGACGCTCGACAACGGCAAGCCCCTGTCGGCGAGCCTCACCCAGGACATCCCAGACCTCGTGTCCGTGCTCCGCTACTATGCCGGCTGGGCCGACAAGAGGCACGGCCAGACGATGGACCTCGGCCCCGCCAAGCTGGCCTACACGCTGCGCCAGCCGCTCGGCGTCTGCGCTCAGATCATCCCCTGGAACTACCCGCTGTCCATGGCCGGCTGGAAGCTGGCCCCGGCCCTCGCCGCCGGCAACACGGTCGTCCTCAAGCCCGCCGAGCAGACGCCCCTGTCCATGCTCTACCTCGCCAGCCTCGTGCCCGCCGCCGGCCTGCCGCGCGGCGTGCTCAACGTGCTCAACGGCCGCGGCCCCGACGCCGGCGCCGCCCTCGTCGCCCACGCCGGCGTCGACAAGCTCGCCTTCACCGGCAGCACGCCGACCGGCCGCGCCGTCATGCGCCTGGCCGCCGCCACCCTCAAGCCCGTGACGCTCGAGACGGGCGGCAAGTCGCCGCTGCTCGTCTTCCCCGACGCCGACCTCGACCGCGCCGCGCGCTGGGCCCACGACGGCCTCATGGCCAACGCCGGCCAGGTCTGCACCGCCACCTCGCGCCTCCTCATCCACGACGACGTCCACGACGCCTTCCTCGCGCGCTTCCTCGCCGTCGTCCGCGACGTCTCCGTGCTCGGCGACCCCTTTGCGCCCTCGACCTTCCAGGGCCCGCAGATCACGCGCAAGCAGCAGCAGGACATTCTCGCGCGCGTCGCCGACGCCCTCGCCGAGGGCGCGACCCTCGCCCTGGGCGGCGACGCCGCCATGCCGCCGCCGTCGCGGCTGTCGTCCGCGTCGCCCGAGACCCCCGGCTTCTTCGTCCCGCCGACGGTGCTGACGGACGTGACGCCGCGCATGCGCGTCTTCCACGACGAGATCTTCGGGCCCTGCGCCGCCGTCACGCGCTTCCGCGACGAGGCCGAGGCCGTTTTGCTTGCCAACGACACAGCCTACGGCCTC